TAACATCATATTCATTTGGAATTGGAGTGCTGCATCAGCAAATCTTTGTGCCATAAGCAGAGTTATTGGTGCACAGAAACTGATTCTGAGGCTTAGAATTTTATAACTGTTCTCAACAAACATACAAGCAGCCGCCACGTTTTATTTACAGCTTAAGTGGCTGATGTGCAAAGGTGGTTAGCCTACAGCATTTTTTATGACCCTCAGAACCCCCTCTGATTATTTATTTATTGACTGATTGATAATTCAACTGCATAGGCCATCCAACTCAGAGCACCTGTGGGTAGCCTATGAGATATCAAAAGAATCCAAAACAATGCAAAGAAAGGAAAGGGATAACTGGGCAAGTAACACATGAATAAAACTGCCACAGCAGCACACATTGCCTGGCACCTGGGAAGAAAGCTAGGTCTTCAAGGACAGCAGGGTTGGGGCAACTCAAACCTTTGGGGGGATAGTATTCCAGAGGGTAGATCAGGCAACAGCGAAGGCATGTCACATAGGTCCCATCAGATGATATTGATTTAAAGATGGGACCTGGAGTATGTCCACTCTGTGAGATCTTACTGGATGGGCAGAAAGAATGGGAGACAGGTGGTCCCTCAGATAAATAGGTCCCCTGCCATGAAGGGCTTTATAGGTCACAACCAGCACCTTTAATCACACCTGGAAGCTGACTGGTAACCATTTACCAAGTATTACATGGGTAACACCTCTGCCACACCACTGTATTCTGGATCAGCTGCAGCTTCCAAGTGGTCTTCAATGGCAGCCCAACCTAGAGCACATTGCAATAGTCCACATAAAAGTTGACTAAGGTCTGAGTGACTGTCCAACTGGATTCCAGTCCAGGAAAGAATGCAATCGGCACACCAGATGAATTTCAGCCAAGTCCCCACCCCACTCCTGGCCACAGCAGCCATCTGCTCTTTAAGCAGGACCTTTGAATCCAGGACAATCCCCAAATTTTTATTTATGTATTTATTTGTAAATCAAACTTGTATGCCACCCATCTCACTATACAAGTGACTCTAGGCAGCTCACACATATAGAGCATAAAAACAGTTAAAAACACAAAACAAAGTTAAAAAGACTACAAATGAAGTTAAAAAGCAGAGGGAGAATCCTTAGGGCACTAACCACCCCCAGTGTCAGGAATCCCCATTAGATTCCCAAGCTAGTCAGCAAAGCCAGGTCTTAAGGCTGTTCCAGAAGGTCAAAAGAGTGGGAGCCAATCTCACCTTGGGGAGTAAGATATTCCACAGGGAGGTGGCAATGGCAGAAAAGGCTCTCCTCCTAGACCCCGCCAGCCAAAATTCTCTAGCCAATGGGGTCCGCAACATGCCCTTCCTGCTGAACCGGGTGGGATGGGTTGAGGTAACCGGGATTGCATACTAGTTGTATCTGAAGGAGCCCTACCCCATTTAGAACTAAAAATAGAAAAACTTTGGTACTGGGAGAATCCAAAACATACAGTCACTTGGTCTTGCCAGGATTGAATTTAAACCTGTTTCTCCCCATCCTGACCCCAAGAAGTAGCGCTACGTCATCCCAGGATCATGGAACAGGATATCAGTAGCATATTGATGATACTTGACCCTGTGCTGATGGATGACTTTACCAAGCAGCTTCATGTAGATGCTAAACAAGAACATCAAGCACTACAGCACCCAACACATGAGGGGCCTCAGGCTCAACCTCTCCTGCCAGTCAACGCCAACATCAGCTGGAACTGGCTGTGGAAAAAAAACAACCACAATACTGTGCCTCCCACACCTGATCTCCATGTTCTGTCCAGAAGGATGCCATGATCAATAGTATCAAAGGCTGCTGAGAAATCAAGGAGAACCAGGACAGCTGCACTACCACTATCCCAGTTCCCACAGAGGTCATCAACAAATGTGTTCAGTGCCATCTCTGTACTATGTCCCAAGTCTGAGACCTAACTGAAAAGCATCTCAATAATTATGATTGTTATACAATGTCCCTTGCCCACTGAAAGGTTGAGTGCTTAGAGAATTAGACTGGGAGAATTAGGGAGACCCAGGTTTACCATGGAACTCTCTTGGTTACTAAGGCTCGGTCACTATATCTCAGCCTACCCTATATCACATATTATTATTGTGCAGATAATAATGAAATAACCCCATATATGCTACCTTAAGAGCCATAGAAGAAAAGAGGGATATAAAAGTAAGAAAAAAGAAAAATGAAGAAAAGTCTCAAATCCAAGTATGACTACGTCCTTGAATTGATGACTTGGAAGGGAAGATAGATCAGCCAGAGAAAGCCCATCCATTCATCACACCAAGTGACAAGTTGCAAAACTAGCACCATCAATCATAGATGATGATATGAGTTATAGTGCAAAACATCCAAAAGTACCTGGCTGTCTATACATGAATGTTTGCATGTGTTTCTATGTGTGTGTGAGAACAACACAACAACTGATCAAAACAATGACTTCTTCCACAAGTCAGATATTTCAAAGAAAGGGGGATGGGAAGAACCCTTTTTAACATTTAAAGTGAAAGACCATTATGGAATCTATTAGTAAATAAATCTGACTTACATCAGCATTGTTCTTCCTCCCAAAGAAGCCCAGGGTGCTTTATCCAAATATAAAAATAATCTAAAGTAAAATCATCAATAAAACTATACCTGGGTGGATATGCTGTGATTTAAACAATGCCAGAAGGAAGCCAATTGTATTTCCCTTGAGAGAGTTCCATAAATGAAGTGCTGTTGTCTACTCCCAGCCGCTAGACTTTTGGGCCACAAGCAGCTGTCTCCTAGCTGATGTACTGGTATTGGAGGAAATGATCTTTTAGATATTTGGGCTCTCAGCCTTTTTAGGGCTTTGTAGGCTGTCAGTATCTTAAACTTCTATGTGCAGTCTAGCCAGTATAGCTGGATGCCATAACAGAAAAGGCCATCTCTCATGCCCACGCATAATACAATATGTCTCTCATGACACACTTAAGAACACTGCCACCACCACCACCATCACTACCTTATTAATACCTTATTATCCAGGCAAGCACATACTATATTGTGAGAGGATTCCCCTCTGTATCAGTTCCAAACTGTTAAAGGCCTTAAACATCATTAAAGCCTTGAAACCTTTTTAAAAATAATGTTATGGAGTTTTAATGCCACTTTACCAGTTTAGCATCAAAATGTTCTAGTCAAAGACTGTTCCATGTAAGGGCACCACCTGCAGCTTTGCAACCATCTTCTAAGACCCATTACATGCAGACCTCTTGATGTATTGAGAATCTAAATGAAAGGTTACCAGAACATGGATCATTGGGGCCATCCCTGTTCAGGGAGATCAGAGCTATAAAATCTGCCAGAGGTGGGTAAATGGACTTTGGGCCACTGATGCTATCTTGAATGACAGAGATAAATCCAATAGTACACCAAGGCTATGGAACTTTTTCTTTGAGGGACAGGGATGCACATCATCCAGACTCATAGACTTATATAAATCATGGACCTGTGAGCCACCAATGCAGTCTGTTTCCATTTACAGTAATCAGATTCATCCTTTGTTGATTTGCCTTATCCAATCAATTCCAGCACTGAGATATTCTTCCAACACCAATATCTCCTCTCCTGAATCTGGTGATGAGAGTTGGAGTCATCACTGTACTTCAAGGCCCCTGATGATCAGGGGTTTCATATAGATATTAAGGGGGGGGGGAACCCCAATATTTAAAAAAAATTGGAAAAAGAAAATATTAAAGTTTAACCCAAAAGGAAAACAAGAAGAAAATTAATAGCATTGATTTTAACTACAACATTGGCAATCTCTAATGTTTTCTCATTTGCCTAATACAGGTGCAAATAAGCAAGTCCAATTCTTCTAAAATAAGCAAAATTATCAATAATCAATCATACACAATCATAGACAGCTAATATTCTGTTTTTCTGTCCATTAATTTTAAAAATAGGATGGATCAGAGGATGATTTTAGCAAAAAAAAAGTGTTTAAATAAATTAACATAAAAGCATATTAAAGATTCTACTGATATAAAAATGCCATAAAGTTTCCTAACATAAGCATCCCAGTAAACTAGATTTCCAATTAAATCATTAATTCAAGTATTAGCATTTATCACTGAACTATAATAAGAACCACATAGCAATTTCTGCATTACTTTTCAAAACTACTATAAACACTCATTTAAATGCAGAGTAACAGAGAAAAGCATTTCAATTTCACATTGGTCTTCGTAGAAACTGTAGAAACTGAAAATCTGATTTTGACGAGGGACAAATCTGTGCAAGATCAAGTACTTGTATAGTATACTGAAATCAAATTATCTTGTTACCAGAAAAAAACATTCCCAGAAATAACAAAACATTATATCAGATACTAAAATTGACGAGATTCCTACAAGCCAACAACGTAGAAATGATCCTTATGTCAGAATTATTATTGGAACATCATTCTTCAGCAACCAGTCACTATTTTAAAATGTGTATTTTTAAGAAAAAGACCCCTGTTGGAAAAGAGGTGGAATGAGTAGATTTTACTTCCCTCCTCTGCATGAAAGCAAGTTAGATTGTTGACAGATGGTTTTGCTGACTGTGCATGATTATTCCAAACACTCATTACCTTTCCAAATTGAATCACATTTGAAAATTTGCTGTAATTAAATCAGCAATCTCTTTTTGTGAGCTCTGATTGCACTAAGTGAATTCTCAGATAACACATAAGACAATCCAATTAATAGTTAACACAGATGAGATAGTAGCATCTCTGTACATGTCTTTGAATGTGTGTTGACATAAAGAAGATCCTGAAATTCTGGCAGTCTGTGCTGCCACCTAGCCAAGAGCATACCACAGAATTTACAGTCAATCTGTGCTCAAAAGGCTTATTCTAAACTTATCCCCCTTGGACCCTGTTCTCCCAGAATAAAACTTGAGTTAAAAGCAAAGACGATGAGTCTCATTCAAACTAGAAAGGGAGCTCTCAAAAGAAACAGACTTCAAGCAAACTGAGCCAATATCAGACATCGTTTGTACTTACGATAAAAGACATATTCTGTGTAGCTGGACCACACTTTATCATCAGTGTACTGATTGACAAAAGAAGCCGTCACAGAGGAATTGCAGGCTACCATGTGGAATCCACATTCTGACAACATATCAAAAGCCCGTTCCAGGTGCCTGAACTTCAGGTAGAACCTAGAAGTGTATCTATCAGGAGCTCGGTCTGGGTCTCTGCTTTCATTCAAACTTTCTCCAAAAACTTCTTTGACTAGAGCAATCCTGCCACAAACCAAAATCCTCGGGACTCTTCTGAATTTGGCATCTGCTTGGGTCTCCCTGCCCATGGGGCATGAACCTCTGTAGCCAATGGTAATGAAGCCCCACTTTCTCTCCGAGGCCATGAGAGATGAGGGGGCACATATTCTTGTGTCACTGCTTTGGGAAACCTCCTCATAGTCACTATGGCAATAATCATCAGGGCTTTGCTTGATCTCATCGGGCGTCAGAAGTTTGACCAAATCTGGGAGCTGGAAGTACTCGGCTTCCCTCCTGAGCCTTCCTCGCTCTGGGAAATGGTCGGGCAGGACCACCTGCTTGTCCCTGAGATAGTCCAGAATGTAACGGAAAAGGAAGCCATCTCGGTCAATGAAAATCCTTCCCTTGGAATCTTTTGCCAGGTCATTGACTGTCTCTCTTTTGGAGGTGAACATTTTCCAAAGCAGGGAGTGAGGAAGGCCTGTTAACGTGGAGAGGCGAGTGAAGTAAACCTGGCCCCCCACATTCAGTTCTATCACCTCTGGGAAGGAATGTGCAGCAGTTGCTTGTTCTCTAGGAGGGAGGTAAGTTCTGCAGTTTCCACTCAAGGCCATGGTACTTTCAAACCAACCTACCAAAAGTTATGGCAGAGCTCCCACTGGCACCCAAGGTTTCAACGAGGCGCCAAGATCCGCTCCCCCAAGGATCTCCTAACATTTAAGGAGACCGGGATCTGTGGGATGGTGGGGAGGGAAAATGAAAAGGAAGATGTGGAATTGATTTTTCAGTTCTCTAGAAATGGTGATCATAAAAACTGGTGGATGAAGAAAGCTCACGTCACAAGATGCAATCAAATAATCTTCCACTAAAGCCCAAAACAGTATGAGCAACCTACGATCCCTGTTATTCACAAGCCTGTTGAATAAGAAGAAAATAGAAAAGCATTATCCCCCGATGCATGGAGAAAAAGATTGAAAGAATACAAAGCAATTGAGTTATGAAACTCCACGTGTCACCAATTTAAGGGAACATTTGCCTTATTACGTCTTTTTTGTTTGGATTTCTTTGCCTGTCAGAAAAGGCACTGACTGGTCCCCACACATTTCAGGTTGCACAAGATTCTCATTTAAAGCATCAAGCCTTACCTTGGTTACGCTGATGCATGCAGTTCTTGTGAGAGGAAGCCAGAACATTTTCTAAGCAGCTCCAGAAGCAACATAGTGGTTGTGGTAGGCTGAAACTAGAGAGGCAGCAAATCCAAAGAGGAAGAGGGTCAGAGAAGATAAGCTGAGTCCATTTGGCAAGATCCAGGCAGAAGTTAAGAGTTAAACCCACACATGCAAAAGTTAACCAGAAATAGGCACGGAAGAGAAACAGAGCTGTGTAGCAATAGACGAGGCAGAACAGGCAAAACAACATAAATCCCAGGTCAGGATCCTTTAGCGTGCAAGAGAATTGGCTTTTGATGACTTGCAGAAAGCCCAGGTCCTGAGAACACCCCAGGCATCTTTCAGTGGCACCATCCCAGAGCGGCCCCCTTCTCCATCAGTAGGGGCAGAGAGCCTCTCTGTGCTCAGCTAGGCTGGGAGGACAACCCTGCAGCACTTTGAAAGGATGCCCAGGGAAGCTGGGCTGTCCCTCCCTCAGCTGCTGCTGCTCTGGTAGCTGAGCTGGGTGGCTCCACAGTTCCCAGTGCAGTTCAGATGCTGTTGTTTCAGCAGTGCAGGGAAGGAACCATCCAGGGAAATTACTATTACATCATCTTAAAGGAATATGGCTTTGAGAAAGCAGACCTGGAGGGGGTGGGACTCATTCGTTCATTGCTCCCTTCTTCATTTTTTAACAGGCTGCAGGAGGAGAAGCACAGCCTGAGCCTGCCTCTGACAGCTCTCCCCAAACCAACAGCAATTCTCCAGGAAAGCTTACACTGCTCCATCTGCCAGATGGGGGGGGGGGGGGGGGAAACAACTCCAAACTCCGCATCTTGTCTCTGGCAGCAGTCTCTGGTTTTGGACATGCATTTAACTTCAGTCCTTGTCCTAAATCCAGAGCTTGTTTTAGTAACTTGCTAAATGCTGCCTCTCTAACAGGTTTGTTATTGTCCTCAAGAGTTATGCAGAATAAACTGAGCTAAGGTGAAGATGAGTTTTGATCTCTTTTCTCTCTCTCTCTCTCTTACACACACACACACACACACAGAGCAAGGGGTGGGGAGGGAATGCTAGCCTTTACAGGTGTAATCAACCCATCATGATCTGTCAAAGCAAGGTAGGGTAAAAAAAAGAGAGAGAGAGAGAGACCTGAAAAACCAAGAGTCATTTTACTGTGAAGCCAATTACCCGACAGATTACAACAGGAGCCAGATTATGTCTTTGCAGTAAAGTATCACATTCATGTTCACTGTGGAGAAACTTATATACAGCACAATTTTACCCAGGACTACAGTAAATCCTGCTGAGTTCAGTGAGGCTTACTCCCAGGAAAGAGCATTTAGGACTGCAACCTTAGGGTTCTGAGTCATATAAAAATAGTTAAGTAATACTACTTCTCAACCCAGACGTCTCGCTTGAGGCACAAATAACCAGGCTCAAATTATCCTACTTCAGACCCATTATGTGAAGATCTATAATCTCTGGAGAAGGCTCTAATGCTGGGAAAGGTGGAAGGAAAGGGAAGAAGAGGGCGGCCAGCAGCAAGGTGGATGGACTCCATTACACTGGTGATGGGTGCACCATTGGAAGACCTGAAGGACCAGGCTGGGGACAGGTCATCATGGAGGAAGTCTATGTGGTCACTAAGAGTCGATATCAACTTGATGGCACATAATCAATCAGTACTACTTAACAGATGGAGAAAATCTAGCAATAACAATAATCTGCAGCACTGTATATTATGCATTTTTCAAGGATAACGTCACTGCTATATGCCTTGTAGATGATAAAATTGCAAGGCTTAACTGACACTGCTGATTAATAGTTTCATGGCTCTGTCACAGGAATAATCAGGCTACAAGCACCTTAGATGAGCTGTGACTGGTATCCTCATGATCTCCCCACTATAGGCCAATTGGGCTGGGCATAAGGGAAAAGCTGAGCTAAGGCTTACTTAGGAGTTTGTCATGTTAAAGTCTTTGTTACACAGTGTCAATAAAATAAAATAAAGTCTAATTGCTACTCAGAGGATTTTGAGTGGGTGTTGCAGAATGGGAACGGGGGAGAGAACTAGCAATAGTTCCAATTCAATGTATTTTGAGTTTCCAGCCTGCAATCCAGGGTTCTTGGCTCAAATTTCATGCTTGTGCTGTCTCAACAGAATCTTGGAAGTTAAAGATGTTTAAATAACTGGCCCACTGAATAAAGTAATCACCCTGTAGATAACTATTTATTTACTTGTATTTATTTTGTTAGCTAAACTGCTATGGACCAAAGAGTAGACAAAATACTGTTAATTCTCATAAGTGCATAAAATAATAAACCTAGGTTGTATTTAATTCAGGTCCTATTTTAGCTTATATAGCTGTGGTCTCGACAATTTTGCCCCAGTAAATAAACAAATAAAGGAAGATGTAGCCGGATTTATTTTGCATGTTTATACCTCCACCTAATGGCTCAAAGAAAGTATTGCAGACTTCTAATTCCGATTTAGAAAGGACCGTTTTCTTTCACAGTATTATAAAATATGTCTACAGTAATATTTATTTAGTCTGTTGGATTTTGAATATATGATGGACAAAATAGATATTAAAAACAGTCTTTTAGGTGAGAGGGAATATGAAAGAGACTTAAATTGTAGCTTTCTCTTCACAAATTTCCTCAGAAGGATTGCTAATTTCAGAAACACTGACTTGCAAATACATATTTTAGGGATCTTGTTTTTCTATCATTGTTAAACAAGTTAAGGAGTTGTTTGGAGATCTCCTAATTACTGTGGTGAGTTTTTACACTGCCTTGAATTCACTTTATTTAGTATACTTTATTAG